AGTCAGCATATTGCCCCCACAGTCTGGGTCCTCATTTCACCCACCTCGGAAGGATGGAAGGCTGAGTCAACCTTGAGTCGGTGAGATTAGAACCGCTGAACGGCAGATCACAGTCAGCTAAAGTGGCCTGCAGTACTGCACCCTAACCACTATGCCACCTTGGCTCTTAAGACCAGCACAAGTCCAGGAACAATAAAAACATAGCTGGAAATTGGAAAAAAGTATTTTCCAATTAACACATCACGGAAGAGGCAAGGAAAACAAGTGCAATACCAACTCTGCAACTCAAGGATGAAAAGGTAGAATTTGCATTGTGATGTCATGCCAAACATTTCATCACTTTGGCATCATTGTAATTAGGAATGAACACCTGTGTCCCTTAATAATTTGATATTTGAAAGTAAACCAATAATAAGTACAGTACAACAATGGAATAAATTGTGCAGGAAAATAATTAGTGAACAATAAGACAAAATTCCAAACTCCATTCTCATAATGTTTTTGTTCAAGAACCATTTTTATGTTATAAATAATAACAAATGATATATATATATATATATATATATATATATATTCGCTCCCCAACTTGGTGTTCTCTAGAATGTGTTGGAATTTGAAGACCCATAATTTCTGTACTGCATTTGCCAACTGATTAGATGTGGTGGCCTAGAGGTGGCGCTCTCGCCTCACAATCAGAGGGCTGTGAGTTCAATCCTAGGTAGAGGCAGATATTTCTCTCTCTCTCTGGTCACAATGAGAATATATCTGCTGAACAAAACTCCGCATTGGCGACAGGAAGGGCATCTGGCCATTAAACACTCTGCTAGCTCTGGTCAGTTGCCCAGACTCTACCCCACAAGGGATTATGGGGCCATTAAATGATGATGATTTGCCAACTGATTAGTGGATTTGAACTTCAAACATTTGGGCAGATGAATGCATGCATACTCTCCTACATATATTGTTCAAATAAAAAAAGAGGGAGGGGAACTGCATAATAATTCCTTCTCAGCCACAAAAAAACCATTTTTTTTTTGTCAGAAGTTTCAAAGGGAACTGAATTTTAAGTGTTGGCTGGTGCCTTCACTCACCTCAGTAATGAAGGACTTGGCTGTCGAAGGGTTCATTACCAAAATGGCCCGCCTCAGCGTGTCCCGATAGCGGTTGAGTTCTTCAATCCGCATGGTGGTGAAGAGTCCTGTGATCATTTTATTGATGTTGTTCTCTACTTTCTGAAGTGCGACATCCATTCCCTGCTGGGATACTTTGTCCAAAAACTCTTGGATTCCACGGATATCTGGGAACATTAAAAAAAAAAAACAACCCTCATCAGAATGCTAATTACCAAATAGAACACAGACAAAACTGATTTGGTCTTATCTGGAGAAAGGTATTGTGCCTCACATTAAACAACTGCCCCCCGAAGCCACATTAACTTAATATTCATTGCAACTGTTTGTTAGCTACATTCCTGACATATCCTAAAGGGCTAATTTGTGAGTGGAAATTTTTAGGCACTAGTTTCTTTTGAAAAGAACAATTTAAAAAGGAATTTAATTATCCCTGCTTTGCTTTCCTTGGATGCTCGTAGTATGAGACCAAATCCTGACAGACTGTGGTGTTTGTTAAGTAACACCTGCCAAGAAAAGGGACAATAAGTTATCAAAAGGCAATCTACTACTGATTTTACTCCACCTGATTGAACCCAGAAATCACATTATAACAATATGCCCCCCGCCGTCATCAGGAACAAAAAAAAATGTTTAGAAGTGGAAAATATTTACAGCAATGACACTTATAGTAAATATGTCAAAAGAATTGAGAATTTGAAACAAGAGTCTTTACCAGGCAGAGTCACACCTTGAGACCAATTGCACAGATAAACCTTCGAAATCTAATGATAGGATTTAAAAAAAAGAAGTAGTCAGGGGCAAATTAATATGAACTGAGAAGGATGGGCTACGCAATGGTAATGGGTAGGGAAAAAATTACTCTCTTTGTCACTCTAGCTAAAAATAAGTTTCTAAAACTGATTAATTACATCTCAAATTAAAATTAGAGTGCTTCAGGTTTTTTCTGAAATGCAGATAGCACCCTAGGTGATATCTGCCAGATCTATTCTAAGGAGAAAAATACTTAAAAGTTCTCTGTTTCTACTCTTACTTACCTGAAATTTTCTAAGTTTCATCATTAAAAAAAAAACAAACTAAAACAAAATCACCTGACTCAAGCAATTGACCTTACATGCGTGTTAGTTCTTACTTTGTATGCAGCTCTTCCTTTCCATCTTTCTATTTAAAGTTTTGTTCAGGTATGAGTTGACAATATTGGATATAACTATCATGCCAAAAGCTGCCAGAAGTATAAGGTAAAGTTTCCCCTCACACATATGCGCTAGTTGTTCCCAACTCTAGGGGGTGCTGCTCATTTCCGTTTCAAAGCCGAAGAGCCAGCCCTGTCCAAAGACGTCTATGTGGTCATGTGACTGGCATGACTAAATGGCGAAGGCGCACGGAACACTGTTACCATCCCAGCAAAGGTAGTTCCTATTTTTTCTACTTGCATTTTTTAATGTGCTTTCGAACTGGCAGGAACTGGCAGAAACTGGCACAAGTAACGGGGGCTCACTCCGTTACGCAGCACTGGGAACTTGAACCATTGAACTGCCGACCATTTTGATCAACAAGCTCAGCATCTTAGCCACTGAGCCACCGCATCCCTACTGCCAGAAGTACACTGAACGTTTTTTTTAAAAAAGCTCAA